ATATTGTGTATCAAGTATTAAAATATCACATTGTGTTAATCTTACATGTAAGAGGTAAGATCTATATTCCAGAGAGCTGAACAAGTTTGGTTGAAAAATCATGGATGATTTTAGCAATTGTCATCAAAGAACTTCTGGTTACTGTTTAGTTTGATTATGAAACTATCAACTAACCACTTCCAAAACAAATTGCTTATTTGTGGATTTTAGGATTTCTAGGCTAAGTAAATCATTTCTAAAACTTCAATAATTCCAACACCAATGGTACAGTCTGGTACTTATGTAGGTTGGTCTTAAATGTCAAATGTATAACTTATTTCAGGGTATTAGGCATTAAGCCATTATACAAATAAAATGTATATTTCCTGCCCCTTCTGTCTATATATAGGTTGGCTATTACTTTCAAAAAAAGGTTGTTTAAAAAAAGGAAATGTGTTCTTTTGTATACTACATGTTATAAAGAAAAGAGCTGACAAAATTGGGCAATCCGATATCAAATTTTGTAGGCCCTAATAATGCAACTTAAGTAATATTTCCTGACCTTATGTCTAAACATAGGTTTGCTATTTTAAAAGATAATGTCAAATCTATTAATTTTGCAAGAATCGGGTACAAGAAGAAAGCATGACAAGTCTGTTTTAAATAGCACTTTACCTGCGCTCATCTTGTGAAATAGATTATTGACCTTGCTTTTGAATTTAGAACCGCTAATTCAAAGTTTTAGGTGAATTTAGAAAATAAACTAAAAAATTGAGCTGCCAACAGTTGAGGGGACTTTGGTAAGACTCCACGAAAGTGCAGGCTGGGGCCTGCTCTTTACTGTGACAAAGGGGCTAATGGCCCCATGTTCCACCAGGTTAAGGGTTCAAGTGTCTGGAAGAATGAGGGTTGCATATTGATTATTTACACATGAACATGTATTTAACTTATAAATATTTTTGTTTCTCATGATTTTCTTTTGACATTAATTTTTTTTTCTTCTTTTCAGGTCTGGTTGGGTATACAGTATGGAAGTTTTATATTAAGCGGATGTGAAAAACCCAAATCAAGGGTAATGGATGACACCATCAATGAAACAGATCAAAAACATAGCACAAACTCTAACAATAATGACAATAGTGTACACAAACACAAGAAATGGATCAGCTTGAAATTAATGGATTTTTAGCAGTTTTAGATTTTTTAAGTTACAGTTTGTTTTCATATGTAAAATGATGTTTTTTAAGTATTAGTCAGAACTGCTTCATTCCATTGTTATAAGGTATATTGTTGTAAAATTTGCTATTGTCCAATTTGTTACCTGTTTAAATAGCTCTAATTATCACATAAACCACTGCACATGAGTGTAATTAAAGCCAATTAATAAATCAATATTACTCTAGTGTAATAACACTTTGTCATGACGTCATAGAGTTATTGCGCGCTAATGTTAGCGTTACACTATAGGCGCGTCAATGAAAATGACTCATTTTAACTATAAGCCGTTCTCTTTTTGGGTATGTGATAAATAGAATATTATATTCGTATAGTTGCATACTAAATTTTATTGAACAAGTTGAATAAAACAATATTATGCTCGCCAGAGGCTCGTATAATATGATTTTATTCAACTCGTTCAATAATTTTAGTATTAAACCTTAGTAACATGTACACTCATCCAATATCCTCTATTTAGGATGCTTTTTGAAGAAATTTACTGAAAGTAGCTTGTTTTTATACTGTAATAAAACTGGTTCAGGATTCAACTTGTGTTTTTGTTATTTACCATAATGATCCCTTATTTTTATTTTACAAATGTTCTTGCAAACAGGTGCATGACATATATTTAGGATTTCCTATCATCCAGTGTTGACCATTTATTTTGAGGAAATATATGACAATATATTTGGATATTTTCTTAATTTACTTTGTTGTCTTTGCATTGGCTTTTGTTGTCTTTGCATTGGTTTTCAAGAATAAATTACCAGAAATTTAACTGATGACTTCATGACTACTAACCTTAAATGGTTTCTGAATCATGGGTGATAGAAAATGACAATAAAATACGATATGTGCAAATTCCTAGTAATTATATATAAGATTACTGCTGCAACGATACTATTTTATGGAGTGCATTTTCAAAGATTGCTTCACGTAATCAAGTTAGTGACTACTACTACAATTACGATATTTTACCAAGTTTATTAATGAGAATTGTGTCATTATTTATCAAATATACTAGGGAAGAAACGCTTCCTGAAAGCTTCAGGTAAGTGATTACTGCTGCAGTTATGACATCATACTAATCGTAAATAAGTGCTTCAAGAAATGAGAACAGTGATTGATACTAAAAGTATGATATTTAACCAAAATAATTGCTTCTAAAAAAAAATAGTACGTGCTGTTTAACATTCATGATATTATATATCAGATACATGAATTGCTTCATTAAATTAGGTAAGTAATTACTGCTACAATTAGTAGATTGTTCTAAATGAGTTGTTAAGGGTTGATTCATAGAAAGGGGTCAATATATGATTATACAAATTCACATGTGACAGTTATCAAGGGAGTCTGGAAAAGGCTGTTTCTAATAGTGTTGTTTCGTTGACATTCAAAGAAAAAGTGGTGTTTTTTCTCGGAAGTTCACTTTGACACAGTGGTGAATTTCTTAAGGGGTTTTTTTTGTAAAGCTGATGATTCAGAGAGTATATCTATCATTTTCGAATACCTGCCTGTATAGAAATATTTTGGGGACTTTTTTTTCAAAAGACAAGTTTTTGAAAGAGGATAGTGTTGGGGCATTTTGAAGATCTCCAGAAAGCTCATTTCATTCTTAAAAGGCTGATTGGAGAAAGGCATTATAGTAGAGGGATGTTCTTGTTAGTAATTGCGCAAACTGTACAAAAGGAGGGACAAGAGATTATAGGTTCTGACTATTCAGGAGTAAATATGAAATGTTGATATTAATGTAAAAATTGTATTCATTGTATTTGTGAATTGATATGTGAATTGCATGAATTGTCTACTGTAAAATATTTATTATAACTGTTTCGTTTATTATTATAGGTTCTTCCTTCATATTGCTAAATAAATATAGAACCTCATCACTGAGCGTTTCTGTCACTGAACCTCCCACGTGTTAGTGATATGAGCTGCGCGCCATGACAAAACCAACGTAATGGGTTTGCGACCAGCATGGATCCAGACCAGCCTGCGCATTCGCGCAATATGATCATGATCCATGCTGTCTACTTGTTATAGGGTTTGTAAGCGAACAGCAAAATAGATCATTATCATGCACAGGCTAGTCGATCTGGATCCATGCTGGTCGCAAACCCATTACGTTGGTTTTGTCGTGACACGGCTCATATGTTCTATTGACTTAAACTTTCTAAATCAGAGACATTTAATGTATTTTGACGTCTCTGATAACATTTAAAAGTGTTGCTCCATATTTTTTAATGAAGCACGTACATGTCCTTTAAATGATTATGCCCAATAAACACTTAGAAATATTAGTGAAAGAAAACGTCTATGTTCGGTTTTATCTACTCTGCATTATGCAAAAAATATTTTACATGTACAAAAGTCATATAAAAACTATTTTTGCAGCATTTTGATTTATAAATGAACAGAGTTTAATTATGACTGAATGTGTCTAAAGTTCTCATCGTGACAGGAATGAAAACATTTAGTTACATTACACCTTCTCACCATAAGGGCGGAGTTACGGGTTTTACCGTAACCTTACGGTTTCTACCGAAACCTCTCCTCGCTGGTGTCCCCGTAATGTACCTACCGCTAATGGTGGGTCAATAGCGATTACCCACATATATGACTTACATGTAGGACAAGCCTCAAACCTATCTTCAGTATACATGTACATAGGACACTACAACTTTGTTTGAGGTGAATAAATTAAAACTTAAATAAGATCATTTCCTTGTTCAGTTAGTTTTGATTATACTGATATTGAAGTAATCTGCTTCTGACCATCTGAACTTGATAACTATTAAGTCCTTTATACATCTAACCTATCTTTCTGTGCCCCTTTACGTTCAATGTTACTCTCCTTACTCGAGAGTTAAACAACTATAATCGTTCGATAATAAACATCAGTGCATCAAATAAATGTACTAAAATGGATACTTTACCAATTATAATAATTATAGCTGTCGTGTTAGCTACAACTATAGTTATTGGTTCGATATCGTTATTGTCAGGACACAAACATGTGCTTATTTCTACTGGACAATGTCCCTGCAGTGAAGCCAAGTTTTGTGAGAGGATTAAGGATACAACTAGGAAGGAAGTATGTGGTGTTGTTTTTTTTTGTTTGTTTTTTCTGTGTCTTTCTCTTAATATACTTTTCGTAACATTAGATATTTAGAAAACTCGTTATTAAAATAAGAACCACTATAACCATTGAGTAGCATCCAGTAAAATTTTAGAGCATGCAGTTCATTTACATGCTTTGAACATATTAAGATCTTATTGGTTGCCGAACGATCGTTTAGCGTGCTGATAAACTCGCATTCAGGTCGCTGTTAGGTCGACTTAGCAGTTCCGAGACGTCACTTTATTTCCTCCTTGATTGCATCCCGCATCATCGGAGCCCATAGGGACAGTAATATAGGAAATATGTATCAGTTTTGGGTGCATTTTTGCAGGCAGAATTAAGCGTTCGTTATATCTTGTAATAATGCACTTGACTTCCCGTTTTGTATTATATGAATTTACCGCACTCTACACTACTTTAATTTCGAAATATCTTTAAAACTAATGATAACAAGTCCGACAAGTAACATTTTACTTAAAGCATAATTCCACGAACATCCAGTAACTCACTTGTATATATTTGATGACATCTCTGAGACCTTACTAAGACTAACATAAAACAGAGTTTAAAATCCTGAAAATGTTTACCGCGTCAATTTTATATTGCTTATGACTGTATTCAACTTTTTCTATTTTAAGATATTTGTATTTTCCCTTAACGCTAAACAAGATAATTGGACGTTTTACGATTGAAAGTCACGACAGTTGTGATGGTCGGTTATTTTGACATGCAACTGGTTTGTTGGGCACATAAGTACGGCGCAAGAGCTATCATAATCGGTAAGTTTTGTCATTTGAAACATTATATATCCATAGCCTTACCTCTAAGCAAAACAATTACTGTTTCCAGTTTTGATTTTTATTTACTTGCATTTTTAGTCTACACTTACGGAGACAATAAGCGGGTATGTTTGTATATTTTTATGAACAAAAATTAACTTTTAAATGCTATTAGATTTTGCTGACGAGGTTAGTTAAATATATTAATACATTTTTAGTGATTTTAAGTGTCAATTTTTTTTCAATTATCTAATAGTGAATTATCGAATTATTCTGCTATTTCAAGTAGGCATTTAATCGTTTACTAAATTAAATGATTTTGTGTATTTGTCTTTACCCCATAAGATAATATTTTACAAACAACAGTTGTAATTAAGATTTTTTTTTTATTTCTTTCTTGAAAAATAAAATATGACTAAATGTTAAAATATATCTACTAACATGATTAAACAATACAGGAGAAGTTGAGACATCTGTGCTTCCTAACCAAACTGCTCAATCACAGTGGGTACAAAAACAGTTAGATTTTGTAGATAAGAATTACCTTGACGGAATCAACTTTGATTACGAGCGTGCAATATTATATAATCAGACTCAACTTCGCAATGGATACACAGATCTTGTAAGGGAAACAAGACAAGCTTTTCGAGAAAAGTTCCCATCATCTATGGTAAAGTATCTTTTCTTAATCAAGTTTAACACTTAACATTATTCTGTTAACTTTGATACAATTAAAACGTAAATACCATTTTATATAATAACCCTAACTTAATTCTTTTTATTGTACAGGAGGAGCATCCGTGACTCAATGGTTAAGGTATTTTGACTTTAACAATTTGCCCCTCAATCAAATGCATACTAATTCTTCAATTTATGTCAAAGTGTATAGAAGTTCTCCAATCAAGTTACAAATTCTGCAAATTTAATAATTGTGAAGTAAATGGATATTTTCCAGTTACTATGACATTTTTTACGATAACAGAATGGCGGCTAATACTATTCAAATGCAACATCAGTTAGTAATAATTGTACGTCATTCAATTGAAACTGCACATTTCGTTTCGTATATAAGTAAACACATTATGTATAGTTGTAACACAATTAAAAGTTGGTAGAGTATAAAATCTTTTAGTACGAAAACGTAATTTTAGCTAGAGGCTTTAACATATATGCCGGTTCAAAACGTCAATAAAGATCTGTTATAATCAATGGTAAATCAAATTTAGAGGGATTTTCTACATAAAGACGTGATTAAAAAGGAAAATCGTATAATGATTTATGTTTTAAGGATTCAACCAGTCTTTGGAAATGTTTAAAAAGAGATACTAATTGGTCGGCTGTATTGTGAAATCCATTAATACCATAAAAAAAAATTGTTATTTTGCTAACCCAAATACATATCCCACTATCACATTGAGTTTAACATTAGGTACCGGTATCATTACCGTGGATATTTAGAATGATGCATACACAAAAGCTGTCGTCAATATTTAATTACAAAGACATATAAGAGATTTGTAGTAATAATAGACTTGATTTCCAGTCTAAATATACAAAATAGAGAGAAATAAGAATCCCTAAAATAATCCCAACACGGCAAAATTGAAAATGTTGCAGGCTCGGTTTGATTGAGCTTGTTCATGGACGGTACTGTCAAGTGCAAACTACCGTCCACGTCCCCTAGCACCGGCTTAAGCAGAATTCAACATTTAGTATGAACTGGTAAAATTTAGAATTGTGAAACATCCGCAGATGTGTTCATATGGCGGTTATTATGGAACCTTCAATGTGACACGTTAGTGCCATTCCATGAAAAGCGGCATATGGTCCCCAGGTAAAAAATGCATGTGCCCTAAACGAGAAAACAATGGATGGAACGAAATAAAATGGAATTTTCAAAAGGGGATCTGAGGTTATGAAGCCTGCATATCACAGGCATGACGTCAAAAGACAAATTTAAAAAGCAGGCCACATAACCTAAGGGTGATTCAACAGTATTCAAGTTAGGAATACTGGAACCACCCAACCAGAAAGATGCCGAATAGAAAGAACTAAAATAACACAAGCACAACAATTATGTCGTGCTGAACGATCTTTAATGATCGGAAATATAACATCCCTGATTGAATGTACGGGGCGACTTTTTACGGCCTCCACACAGCACAAACAACGCCGATGTGGCGACAAGATAGAGAGAAATAAGAATCCCTAAAGAAAGCCCAACACGGCAAAATTAAAAATGTTGCAGGCTCGGTTTGATTGAGCCTGTTCATGTACGGTATTGTCAAGTGCAAACTACCGTCCGCCTCCCCTAGCACCGGCTTAAGCAGAATTTAACATTTAGTATAAACTGGTAAGCATACTGTTGCTATAGGTGCTGACCAAGGTATAGTTTGTGTGAAAAGAAACACCGATATATTATCATATAATTATTTAATATGTACACTGATACCGAATAAAGGGGAATATTAACTAGCCAGAGTTTACTAGAAATTCTCTCTTTTATTGCTAGGGTCAAAATTGACCCGCTTTTACAAATAAAATACTGTTTTATAATAGTGATGTTGGAATCTAGCAATGCTTCTACTTTTAATGACATTTCGAGCCTTGTTTAACTTGGTTTCTTGTCTCTTTCTTGACTTTAAGATTAGTGTTGATGTGGCGTGGTCTCCTGCCGGAATAGATTCACGTTTCTATGACTATGTTAAACTATCAAAAGCTTCTGACTATTTCTTTGTTATGGCATACGACGAGCAAAGCCAAATACTTGGTGAATGTATTGCTTATGCCAATAGCGGGTTGGAAAGAACAATGTCAGGTATGAATTGTTTGTGAAAGTCTAACGTCAACTTTATATTCATATTTAAAAGAATGAAACAACTACATTTTAAATGTTGATGATCATTCATGTCAACCTGTTAAAGAAAGAAATTTTCTCACAAAATGGTAATTTTGAGATTTCTGTCCAGTAACTATTAATAGACCTTTGAAAAACGATTTCCCCATAAAATAAATATGTCGCACGTAACCGAAAGGATCTGGATAGTACAGCTAATCTATACACTCAGAGGCACTTATTACTCGACATTTTTCTGTATAAATAGATTATTTGTGAACGGATATTGTTCAAATTTGGACCATACAAATTCAACATATCATACTTACCACTTAGAATTATATTTACAATTCATTGATAGGAAAATAAAAAAATTACAAAAACAGTTAGGCAACTGTAAAATGAAAATTAACAGAATGACTGTTAAAATCGTAACAAAATGAACAGTCTCTGAATCCCATTAAATCTGTTTGTTAACCATTTCTAATACTTTGTATGTCCCTCTAATTAGTTATAACAACGTTAACACCTTTGCCTTACAGTTCTCTATCCCTAAACAAAGGCTTGCTCGAGTTCCAGCAAATTGCGACGGGCTTCTGATCGCTTTCTCACACGCCTGTTCAATTCAGCCGACAAGTGTGATGTTTACATCTGGTGTCTTAAATTGGGATACAGGAGTTGCTGGAACTAGAAGAAGCCCTTATTAAGGAGTAGAGAAAAATTCCCCAAACCTTCATGAAAAACTACGACATAACCATGAGACAGGTGTTCACACTTTGTTATAGCCATTGGAGGACACACAAAATATTAGAACTGGTTAACATACAAAGTTAGTGGGATTCAGACACTGTTTGTTACGATATTTACAGCCATTCTGTGATTTTTTTATTTTGCAGTAGCATATTTGTTTGATATTTTCTCTATTTTCTTGTCAATGAATTTTAAATAAAATTCTACGGAATACGTTGAATATATGTTGAATATCATATGTTAAAACGTTAAACAAAATCCGTTCACAAATTACCAACATATATCGAAAAATGTTAGTGTCGGGTTTTAAGTGCCTCTGAGTGTATGCATCAATAACTGTGCAGTAGACAATTTATAAGAATTGTCAAATGGATTAAATTGTACGCTGAAATATAGTGTTATAGTAAATATTATGTTATTATTCTGATGAAGTATTATATATGTTTATTATATTTCTGATAACAGGCGTTAACGAATACTTAGAAATTGGAATATCGTCTGACAAGCTCATTCTTGGAGTGCCTTGGTACGGCTACTATTACCCATGCTTGACATTAACCAAGGTATGATTTTATCTTTTGACATATCATTTTTATTTTGTTTCATTTCTTTCTTCGCTAATTCAATCACAAACAAGATGCAAACTTTAAAATAGAAGCATAAATTGCAGTCTCGTTTTTAATGAATCTGTTCATGAGTGCAATATCTATCAAGTCTCCAAGCTCCGGCTAAAGCAAACATAGAAACTTTCTTTCATCGATACAAATTCCTCGAACTACATGTTATAAGCATGAGAAATAATATTTCAGGATGACAAATGCTACTTAAAGAAGGTTCCATTTCGTGGTGTTAATTGCAGTGATGCAGCGGGACGTCAATTGAATTACTACACTATAATACAGCTACTAAAAAACTCTACAAGTGGACGTATATTTGAAAAATCTACAATGACACCTTACTTTAATTACAAGGTACACTTCCATAACGTTAAAATATTTTATGCGACCGTTTAAATAACGAAAATGCAATAACATCATTTGTATCTGATATTACTTATTTATTTGACAAATGATAACGACTCCTGTATTTTGAAAATGCGATGCATTTTATATAGATACAATATTGATTCGGGAAACTGTTGATCAAAATCCAATAATAATTATGTTTAACATTTTGCCACCCTTATGAAGAATAAAATATCACATTCATCAACTACTCTATCCAGGTGATGTGCATCTAACATGCTCTTTAACCATTAACTTAACGTTTTAAAGCTCAAAATTAACTCATTGTAGGACATATTTATTCCTTTCTGACGCATAAAGTGCCTTCAATTACTGCATTATTTTCAATACGTTACATTGTCTGGTAATCAATGATTTTGCTTGCAACTTATTTAGTGTATTTACTTTACTTGCATTTTAGAATATTTCATCAGGCATTATGCATCAGATACGTTATGACGATCCACAAAGTTTAGGATATAAATATACGTTTGCAATAGATGAAAACTTACGAGGTGTAGGGATGTGGAACACGGAGTGTGTGAATTACACAAGCGTAAAACATGACGACATCATTGCTGTTAAAGAAATGTGGGACGCCCTACCAGATTACGATAAATAACACCAGCAGTCAATTATGAAGTGTACTGAAATAATCATCAATGAACTTAAATAAAACATTTTGACATTGTTATTTACTGAATTAAAAGTATTGATCATTTTTGATAGATATTCGTATAATGTTTATCAACTGATCAATTAATATTTATTATAATGTTTTGTCTATATAGTACCATTCGTAAATGTACAGTTTGAAGCCTTAAAAGGTTGTCAAATCATGAAAGAATCATAATTTATTCTGTTAAACTACTTTACTTTTAAAAGAAGTTACATAGCACTGAAATAGATAGGTATTTTAATTTCCATAAATAGTACATCAATTTACATATGTTGTCACCTTGGCGCAAAAAATACTGTAACTGACTATTATCATTAATAAGTATTATTAAATTGGTTTAAAACATCGCAATTATTCATTAATGTATAAAAAGTAATTAGACATTCTTCTACACTTACATGACTTTTTGCATTGTGATTTTAAACGCAAAAAGTGATGTAAGTGCACTTACCATAGTTTTTGCTCTTACTTTAATTTTAAGTATCGAAGTTACTGCATTGCATAGACATTGAAAGATGTTTATCACAAAAAAAATAATTATAGGGTTTGTTTAAAATGGGTCATTGTGGATTATGAACCGCATTTAATACATTTAACATATGAATGGAAGTTAAAAAACTGAATATTTTGAAATTAATTTTAAACCGTAACAGTAATTCCAAAGCAGTGTATTTTTTTAATTTCAAAGTAAATGTAAGCATTAATAACAACAAAATTACATGAAAACTGCAGACTGGCTTGATTTAGTCTGTACATGAGCAAAAATGAAAAGTGCAACATCCCTCATGCCCCCTAGCACCGACTTAAGCTGTACTCAATTTTCAACACTTAAAAGTGCTGGAATCAATGATTGCAGAGGACCAGAAAAAAACATAACAACACTGAAGTGAAGTACGTGACAACTTATTTACCATGTTCTTTACTGTTGTCATTTTCTAATGGTACAGTTTATTTATGTATTTGTTATTAAAAGGGGAATTTTGATATCTATATAACATAATATCTATGTCTCAATAATATCCAACCATTACAGGGACGTAGACTTTGAGATTTCGGATAAAACCACCAGGAATCTTGAACTTTTCACATTTTTGTTGGATGTAGTCGAGATTTTTGATGAACCTGCAAAGAATCCGAAACTTTTCTTGTCCAACATATCCCTGTGAGATCCTTTTATATTATCTGTCATAAACAGACTTTAATCATGAACAGACGTCAATTTTATATATAATTTTGTTTTCATTGCTCCTTCTTTTTAAAATTTTGATATATTGAATTCAAATTATCTTATTTCCTGCTACCAAACTTTAAAATTATACATCGTATCACTTTCATGATTTAATAGCTTTGATTTTATATAAAAATTCAGATTAATTTCTGTGACATAATGTGGTTTGGGTCTATGTGCAATTTGTACAATTGTTGAATATTGAGATTTTCAGTTAATTAAAGTGTTTTACATGCGCGACATAGAAAATAAACTGAGCCATTCTTATTTTTGATATGACCCCATTCTAAATATATGAATGTATGGGAGCTGTAGATGCACCAAATTAGACGTAACATACTAGCAATTATGATTTTGACCAATATATTATTGAAACAGATTATATGCCTTTGTCTGCCATGTTTTTATAGAAATCAAAATAGAAGTTAGCAACTGTTTCTTCCAGGGCTATAAACATTGAAATTGCAGTTACATTTTTATAATACAGTTGTCCTTATATAATGCAATAAGAATGTTCTTTTAAGCTAGTTTTTTCTTTATTTTCATAATAAATAATTGAGTAAAAAATTGAAGAAAAAAATTAAAATACTAAAAGCTGTCATCAGTAGAAATGATATTGATGCATCGTTGATATTTTTCTGTTGATCAGTACACGTTTTAGAAAATTCGATAATTTTGATTTTATACTTGAAATTATGAAAATTCAACCAAAACATATGCAGAAGCAATTATTTCATGGCAGTGATGACAAAAAATTGTTAGCAAAAATCATGCAATGGGCATTTAAAACAGGACACATTTTTGAAAAGACCATTTTTTTCTGAAAACATTAAAACAATTATGGAAAAGAATTAGAGACAAGTAGTTGATACTTAAAGTATGTAATTATCAATATATCTGTGTATCATCAATATTTTTTCATCTTAAATTTGCTTTCCACCGAATCAATGACAGCTCTTATATCACTTGAATCACTTAAAAATATCAGCAAAATTTGAATACTGAAAAATTCCTAGCTATATTGTTTGTTGTCAAATTAAAATAAAACATTTTCTTTAAATGTTAGTTTCCTAAAGTAGATTTATATATAAAATTTGTATTTTAGAGATAGTTTTGCTATTTAATAATGCAGTAGTGAAATATTTTAATGCAGATACAATTATTTATTTTCAACTTATCTGTGAAAACATTGGTGCAAAAACTCATGTAAGTGTACTTACTGCAGTTGTTGCACCAACAAATTCTGAAGCTGCACTTACGTTTTTTATTTTTATGCCAAAAAAAGTCATTTTTTATCAAAATTCAGCTTCTAAACTTCAGAGACTGGTGAAAGTTAGTATTTCTAACCAAATAATGACAAAAAGTCAGTTACATGAATTTTTGCTCCAAGGTGACGATGCATGAGTACAAAAATATAGAAATAAAATGTTTATTTCGGAAGCAATTGTACTCTTTAATGAAAACTATTGACATTGTAGATATCCCCTCTTTGAATTGAGTGTACTTATCAAACTTAATTAGAGAGATGGTTAGTATTCACTCCTTCAAAAGCAAGAATAAAGAAAAGTCATATCAAAAACACCAATAAATTTAGAGTTGACAACATTCATTATGATCGGCGACAATTTTAACCATTGTAGATTTTGTTACTTTTAATATGTTAATTAACTTTTATTCTCTTATTGTACCGTATACACATTCTATTTTATTTGTTTACATATCATCTAACTTTAACTCAATCAATCGACACGATTTAAATGGCTACAGATTTTACGAAATTTTAAGAAAATACAATTCTTACCGCATGCAGTCTCAAAAATTTAACAAGTTATTAATTGTTATAAAACGCATCGATATCTGAATTTTCATACAAATATCTATTTGATTTAAGCATATTTAAACGTGTTAGATAACTTCCCTTTACTACATTTTTTCATATCTGGATTGGTTTATGTTTAGCATTATACCTATCGTGTAAAGATATTTCAACTATCTTTGCTGTAATAGATAATGAAACCGAAAATGGACTATTTTATTGAAATGTAAATCTGTGTCAAGGAAAATGGCCGCCATTTCGGGGAGTGAGATGGAAAATCTGTCGGATGAAACTTTTCAGTTGTTATGTTCACTCTGTAAACGTAAGGGAGGACTAAAGAAGCGGACAAATACTGCACGGACTGTTCATGATTATTACTGCTCGGAGTGTGTGAAATTCCACGAGGATATTCCAGCTCTTTCCGGAACATAATATCCTAGATAAAAGTCAACAAGAAACAAGGGTAGGTTTACCTGTAGCACCAACGGAAAAAATGCGAGAGACACAGGTTTAAACCTGTTGACATGTATTGTCAAATCATGATGACGTTGGTTGTTCAACATGTTGGCAGTAGATCACAGGTATAGATATTCTATATATTTAACTTGAAATCAGATATACGTTATAGTATTAGCATACCCTTATTTAACTGACTGAATAAACAGTTCTTTATTTTTGTTTGCTCAGACGTAAAGATGTACCAAGTAGGCGACGCTTTATTTATCTCCATCAAGATTCATGACTGTATGTAATAAAATAGCCATGTAAAGTTATTTACAGTCAAGTCAATTGCACCTAAAGATCATAACAAAAACGTGAAACGTAACAGGATATGCTTTAGTTTTCTGTTTCAATAATGTACATGTTTTGTGAAAGAAATTAAAATGATTGCAAACAATACGAACAAATCATTATACCAATTTTTTTATTTTATGCATTTTTCCAAGAATGAAAATAGTTTATTGTTATTAGTATAGGCGTTCAGTTTTGCAAACCGGCACGTCTCGTATTGATGAAATAAATATGTACTTGATTTTGTGTGTAATACAGTGGTTGTATAAATAATGCAATTAATCGAGTAAAAACATTTCGCTTCCAATACAAACAAGACCGGCTCTTTAAAACCTCAAATGACTTTTATATGATGTTGGTTTTGTTTTCTTTCTTGTTTGAAATTGTTTCTGGGTCTGTGAAATTTTACTTAATTTAAAGTTTAGTTGAATTTTATTTACAGTAACATTTTATGATAGAAATAGAGTAAAATGCCATATGATGGATGTTATGGAATACAACAAATGTGTACACATTTGAATGTACAATGAGATAGTGCGCTGATGTTAGTGTTCATGCACAATTATACTACATTTAAATCTAAGATGTATGACCAACTGGCAGCACTTGAAAAAAAGCGCCAACATTTAAAAACTTGGCAAAAGATGGCGTCGCTAAAAACATTTTTTTATGTTTAATTAATGTAAAATATTTTTATCACCTTAACATTGGGGGATATATTTTCATAAACACCATTTTTTACTTTCCATACATAGGTCATGCAACGATATCTTCGAAATGTTCCAGGGTTTGTTTCAAATAAACCAATCACAAACAAAGAAAAACACTTGAAGATCTAAACGTAGAAAAAAGCCAAAATTTTAAGAAAAAGCTAGAAAAATCCCTATAAAATGAGAGGGGGCGTTTGATGAAAAAAACAAACAAGGAAACATTGGGTGAAATTGAAAGGGTTTCAGAAGGGAAAAAGGGGCTAAACTGGAAAAAACATGAGCAAAAAAGTATCGAAAAAAATTTAGAGCAAATGTAATGTCATTTCTTAGAAAAAAAAATGCAGAAATTTAAAAGGGCTTAGAAAAACTGTACAGAAAAATGTTTAACAAAGCTGAGGAAGAATGGGGATCATTGGGGATGCTGATAAAATATA